ATTCAAATCAGCGAGTCTTCAAGCGGCTTTATATAGAAATGAATTCACCTTTCATTCAAAGCATGGAGAGAGACTCCATTCCATAGTAACTGTTTTTACTGATTTTTCCACCAAGAAGGGAAGACCAAATCAGCCAATCATTTTGCCAATTTCTCTGTCCCGGGGATTTTCAGATCATGAGCCCCAGTTTCATGATAAGTCTTCAATTTTATTTTATTTTTTTGGTGGCTTTGAGTCAGTTTTTTACCCCTGGGTATTGCCTGGATTAGTCCCTGCAGTTTTCTTGGCAAGGTTTTTCAGAAGTGGTTTGCCCTTGCCTCCTTCCTAGGGCTGAGAGACAGTGACTGACCCAAGGTTTTGTGTCTAAGGCACAAAGCTGGTTTTGTGCCTAAGGCAAAACTAGAATTCATGGTCTCCTGGTTTCTAGCCTGATGCCTTAATCACTACACCAAACTGACTCTCTTAATTTCTCTTGATCTCCATTCAGACATTTACAAAAAAGTTGTGAGGCATTTCTGCTGATTTTATTTCTCCTGCCAAAGATGACATCAAGGTCATGTGAACCAAGGGAAGAACATCAAATAGACTAATCAGGCCCTGGGCTAGGAGCTATCAGTTTCATAATACGCACATCTATTCCTTCTTCCCTAAAAATGTACTATTTAATAAGGCCTTTTTCCAACAGCTAGTCCTAGGACAGGATATTCACAATGCAGTGCTAGGCTTTGACAGTGATGTTAATGCCAAAGAAGTTATTAAAATGGTCTTCTGGGGGAGGTGTGGTGAACTGAAAATGGCTCCACAAAAACAGAGCCGATGACCATGGCAAAGACCAAGGAATTGGTGAGTAGACCAATTCCTTGTTACCTCTCCGGATAAGGGAAGGAGGGAGATCTCCCACATGTGCTCCAGACAGCTGCTCCTCACAAGGAGACCACAGGACAGCAGGTTTCTATGGGTTTGAGCACCAGGAGGCGATAGGATCAGCCATCTTCCATGCAACCACGGCGGCGCCTTTTAAAGGACACTAAGTTCACAAACTTCACTTCTTATCACTTTCAGAAATTGCCTATTAACCATCTTAAAGCTATTAGAGATCTTCGGAACAACAAATTTGAAAACTCTTCATTGGGTGAGTTTATCTTTACTCTGAACAAAAGAAAAATTAATTATAAGCTTAAGAACTTAAAGAATGTGAAATAAAAGCAAAAAAGCTAAATAAGACTTTCATCTAAGAAAGTTAAAATGGATTAAGGGTCCAGATAAATTTGGAATATTGATTTTGGAATTAACTATAAAAATAAACAGCTTCTCATGGGAAACAGATTTATTTTGGCTATCCTGGCTAATCTAACAAAGATAAGTGATGATTTTAGAAACTGGACACTAGAAGGGACTAAAGATTTTAAGCAGAAGAAAAAAGCCTGTTCTTGATGTCAGTTAATACTGGGACTTACAAAATGACACAAAACATTATAACGTCGGAAATATTAAAGCAGATTATTGAAGAATGGAGCCAGAAATTAGTAACTACAATATCAATGCTGTCAGTAATAATGCCTGCTTCTATGGATAGACTATGTCTAAAAGAGAATGATTTGGAAAAGGATGTTTTACTGGATATACAAAAGAAACTGGCTACAGTTTTAAAAATTAAAAGGGAAATACAAATGATAAACCAAGAGAATGACCTGCAAAATGTTTTCGTATTGGATCTACAAAAGACACTTGTTAAAGCCTTGAAGAAATCTGTGTGATAGGAGAAAGAAAAAATGAAGAGAAATCAAATCCTACGGCAATATTTGACTGAATTAAAGATTAAGAAGTAAAGATTAAAGATTGAGAAGTAAAAGGAAGGAATATAAAGTTGGTTTATTTGATCAGGGTTAAAATAGGACACTTTTTTGCAAAGTTCTGGTAACCCTTCATTGACTTTTTGCTGATACTAGGATTGAAAAGTTGATGTTTTATGGATTTGCTTATAAATAAGGGATGGGATATGGGATGAAGAGATACCTGTTTGTAATCTTATAGGGGGTGAAGAGTCATGAAATTTGTTTATACTTGTGATGAAGGTTGGAAGTCACTTCTTTATATATTTCTTTTCATTATATTCTTTCTTTTCTTTTTCTTCTTATTTTTCTTTTTACCTGCACTTGTTATTCTTTTTTTCCATTCTCTTCTCTTTCTCTAAGTTTAGTTTGTATTAGTTTTTACTATTGTAGTTATGCATCTCTAGTTTCTCTACTAACTCTTTGCATGGAGTAAAGTAATTGCACAGCAGATGGTGCTAATGTTCAGGATAAATCTGTACTGTTTGTATTGCATAAGAGAGTACTGGTATGCTCTTAAAATCTGGAATGTAGGATCTGCTATTTGAGGGAATCCTGTTATTTTACAGAAGCAAATTATCCACACAGCTAAATGTTGTTTTGATTTTAATACTAGACTAGTCTTTTGTTGAACTAGAAGGTAAATATGTTGTATGAGAATCACAGAGAGCACTTCTGGGGGGGTGGGGTCTTTTCAGCTCTCCATAAACATTCCACCATTGTGGAATATAGCAATAAAATGCTCAGGATTGAATATGAACCTGAACAATTTATTATTGTATCACTGTAAAATCAGGGCCAGCATGAAGTTTTTTCAACTTGAGGGGATTGTTAAGGGCAATTTTTTCCTCCTTCCAGTTTCCTTTGTTTTCCTTTCTAGCAGACACCTGCAACATTCTTGGACTCAGCCACCAATCAACCTAGTTTTAATTTCTACCCATTCATTTCTTTTATACCTGGGGGTGGGGGGTGGAGAAGAGACCTGTTGCCTTTCAGATGTGATATCAGCAGACTTATGGGACCTCACAAAACTGCAGAACATTACTTTGACAAAGAAACTAAAACTTGAGGAGGCAAGGAATGGGACCCCACAAAACAGCATAGCACTGAGCATGTCCAGGAACCACAAAATGCTGCAGGGATGTGTGTGTCTGTGGTGGGGGGGGGGGGGAACAGGAAATAAAAAATGTCAAGATGGTTACCACAACCATGTGATCAAAGCCCTGCCCTGTGATGCACATTGAAAAGGGATGGGGCTTCAATCACATAGTTGTGGTGGCCATCTTGACTTTTTTGACCAACCTCCTGTGTACACCCTTGGAATGCTGGCTGGCTGGTTGTGGGCATGTGTGGAAGTGGAATAGTGATTTCTGGAAATAGGTCTGTGGACATAATGGGAAGTAGGAATTACCTTGAGAAACAGGAGGAAGATCCACAACCAAGGCAAAGGCCAGATAAAAGAAATTTGAGTCCAGGGCAAAAATGTAATTTCAGAAAGTGTCTCAGACATGATCCTCCCTAGTTCTCATGAAGATATGGTAAAGGAAGGGAGGGGGGAAGCACATTCAGACTTGCAAGATTCTGTTACTGCAACCTTATAATAAAGACGTATTAGCATTCACAACTCTGGCATCCTAATCTGGTCCACCCTGAAGGGTTGACAGTGGGGCATGAACTCCAAACAGAAGCCGTCTTTTTTTCTTGCTAGCCTGCACTGCTTTACTGCATTCTGCACAAATTGTATTTGGATCTGCTTTTCGTTCAGTTGTCTCCTACAGTAGTATATTCTCCGTTTCTTCCAGCCAATTTCTTCCAGCATGTAACTTCTCTTTTGTGGTTTTACCAATTGCAGATCCACGTATATGTGCAGTTCAAAGTGCTGAACAAGTCCTTTAAAAATCATGAGCAGAAGGATAGTTTTCAGCCGTCCTCTCCCATTCCAGTCTCCCAAGCCATTGCATCTCTGCCCCTCTCTGTCTCTCTCTCTCTGTCATATAACAATGTGTCTTACACTTGAGGGGATTGTCCTTATTTTATCCTCACATCTTTCTGAAGAAGATAAGGCAGAGAGAGAGAGAGAGAGAGAGAGAATAGGAAGAAAGGTTAATAGGCAAGTGAAAATTTAAACAAATCTCAAACACTTTCACACCATCTTCTGGGGCAAATAGGTTATGTGAGGAGAGACATTTGGGGCTGGAAAGGTTCGCACACCTCTTAAACAAAAGTCACCAGCTGAAGCGTGCTTGTATGCAGTTGTTTTCCGCTTTGTTTTGCTTTTTTAAAGAATCAGTAACTTTTCCTTTGAGCCATTCTGCTGAAATAACAGAAAGCTCTACGGGAAAGAGTTACTGTCAAGAGCAAAGTCACTGTACAGTAACGACTTATCTTGCCAGGCTGTTCGTTTTTACTGAGTTAATCGTTTGGAATCACGTACAAACGCCCAGCACCGTTACCCTTCTCCCTTCTGTCTCCTGGCTTGCCCCAACAGATTATTACAGCGGATCCTTGGCTAGAGAGGAATGTCAAAACTCCGAAGCATACTGTGCTCCTAGATGCCGAGCAGGTTGCGCGGGAGATTCGCGCGCTCGCCCTGGCCTGGATGTGCTGCTGGGGAGAAGAGCAGCAGTTACAGCAAGCC